AATGGGTCAGTGGTTTAGAGTACTTCCTGCTCATGCAGAGGACTGGAATTCCCTTGCCAGCATCCAGAGATGAGGTAGCTCACAATTGCTCACAGGTCCAGCTCTAGAGGCACAAAGGGCCGAGACATGAACATGCTTAGACACAATTTAAGAATAAATCTAAAAATAAAGGTATAATGGAAAAATACTCTCCTACTGGGCTCCTTATTTTTGAATAATGATTGAATACTGGTGTACTACTTTTGAAACTCGTGTCTAAATTTCGTCCCTAGTAACAACGCTGAGAGGTAGTGGGATTTGAAGAGGTAATGGGGTAGCCAAGAGGGTTCCCTCCCTTCTAGAAGGACTAAGTTAATTTTCACGGTAGTAAGTGCTTGGCTAAGAGCAGATGTAGTAAGGCCGTGTCTTCTATATGGCCTGCTGATGAGGTTTGCCACTTTCCTTTGAAAGCCACTCTCACTGGCTACTCTGTAGCAGTGCCCGCCTGAAAGCTGCGCCACCACACTTTGCTCACATCTTTGAGATTCTCCTCCAGTTGCCTCTCAACTCTAGATTGTAGCTGAAAATGAGAGCTGGGCATCTGACTCCTGATGAGGCACTTTCCCACCTTATGTGAGGCTGTGGGCTCCACCCCAGCACCACACACAAGAGCAACAACCAAAGCCTCCACAGGAAAGCTGGGATGGAACCCAGGCGGCACTTTTTTTTGCTCCACTTACACATTAAGAAGCGGGGACAACGGGGAATCCCTACAAACAAGGCGCAGAGATGACAGCACCTGTTTCCAGAGGTAGCAATGCCAACATCCTGAGCAGAGCTGGGGCCCAGGGTGGTAGGTGCGGATGCCCCAGTGTGGGGGAAAGCTTAGAAATGGTGCAAGTGCTGCCATCCTGGCACCAGCTCTGCAACATTTGGGGTTCGGGTGGGGGTCCAGAATCTCATGTAGCCCATGCTCATCTCCAACTGATTTTAATGTAGTGTAGGATGACCTTGAACTTCTGATCTGCTCCCACCTCCCAGGTGCTGAGGTTACAGTAACGCACCACCGTGTCCATTGTATGCATGCAATGCTGGAGATCAACACCGGGTCCTTGTGTGTGCTGGCTGAGCAGCACCTACTGAGAACCCCCTCCCGCCACTGCCTGCTCCTCCATACTTTAAAGCATTGCTTCTAACTCCCAAACCTAGTTCTTTGGCATATAGAAAGATTTTATCCACTGTCAAATGCTATTATACAATACATTTCTAGGTACACTAAACCCAAATTGGTTTTTCCTCTTATTCTAAGGACCCTGTTTGGTACAACTGATAAACCCTCCAACCAGCAGACTTCCTGCCACTTAAGTGCCTCTGTTACCTCTAATCTTGAAGTTTTTGGTCTCTTGGTCATCAAAGAAGTTAGTTGAAAGTGGATAAAACCCAGAATCTCATTTTCTCACCTGTGGATTGGGAGTTCAGGCTTTTGTGTTAAGGAAGACTATAACTAACAGAAAAGAGGCTTGGACAGCCAGGTACTGTGGGGGAGAAGCAGGCCAGGCATGCAGGTCCGTGGTGGAACACGTTCCTAGCTTGTATTAGGCCCTGGGTTCAGTCCCCAACACCACACACATAAACAGAACGACACATATTGCCTGGCACAGTGGCACAGGTCTATAGTCCCAGTTCTCGATGGAGTTCAGAATGGAGAATCACCACAAGTTCCAGACCAGCCTGAACCACAGAGTTCCCAGTTGTGGTGGCACACACTTGTTTGTGCAGCGAGCACCTGGGAAGCTGAGGCAGGGTGACTGCGGGCGCTAGGTCACCCAGGCTACACAGGGCAGTCTTGGCTCCAAGGGTGGACCTTATCTCAAAAAAGGGAAGAAGGAAGGAAGGAAGGAAGGAAGGAAGGAAGGAAGGAAGGAAGGAAGGAAGGAAGGAAGGAAGGAAGGAAGGAAGGAAGGAAAGAAAGAAAGAAAGAAAGAAAGAAAGAAAGAAAGAAAGAAAGAAAGAAAGAAAGAAAAAGAAAACGAACGAAGGGCTGAGAATGTGGCGTGGTGGTGGAGCGCTTGCTAGCATGCACAGAACTCTGGGTTTGATCCCCAGAACCCCAGAAAACTGGACATGGCCAGAAGTGCCACCCTGTATCTCAGTCCTCGGGAGACGGAGGCAGGAGAATCAGAAGTTCCAGGTCATTTTCGGCCATGGCGATTTGGAGGCCAGCCTGAAATACACGACATTGTCTAGAGCAGTGTCCTCAATCTCCTGCTGCTGCAACCCTTTAATATAGTTCCTCACGCTGTAATGGCTCCCAACTTTAAAATTATTTTCATTGCCACCTCATAACTTTGTAACTTTGCTACTGTCATGAATCATAATGTAATGTCTGATATGCAGGAAATCTGATACGCGACCCCTTTGAAAGAATCGTTCAAACCCCAAAGACACAAAGACCCACAGGCTGAAAACTGCTAATCTAGAGAAACAAAAACAAAACAAAACAGTGAGAAACCCAGAAAGCCTTGTTCCGTTAAAGTAAGCTGAATTATTCTGGGTACCAACCCCAACAGGCTTCAGTGACCAAATCAAAGCCAAATAAATTGCCCACATCCAACCCATCTCATTTCCCTGTCAAGAGATCATTAACTTACCGTCCTACCTGGTTGACACGGTTTATTATATCAAAATTGTTATGCTCCCAACATAAAGAAGTAATGAATGCCTGCAGCAACCAACATACAAGTTGCCCTGGTACGATCCGTCTAGATTAGACATGCACTGCCCTCTCCCAGTGTAACCCACAAATACGACTACCAAGTGCTGCTATGGAAATAAGCGATCTAGCCAGGGATATGGCTCAGCTGATAAGAGCGCTTGCCTAGCACGCACTAAACCCCGGGTTCTAGACCCCGAACGGCATAAACTTGGGTTGGTGGAAATCCCAATTTCGTTGAAAATCTCAGCACAAGGAAGGTGAAGGCGGGGAGATGAGTTTTTAGCTACATAGTGAGTTCAAGACCAGACTGAGCTACACAGGACTCTGACTTTAAAAAGAAAGAAAAGGCAGTAATTCAAACAATTTAAAACTCTGTAACATTTTCATAGTCTCAGCAGCCCTTTCCCTCGCTGTTTCCCTGCTTAATACTGCCACTTTTGTTACAGAGGTCTTTAACTATCCTCGGACTTTTGTCTCGTTACCACAAACAAGCCTAAGAGAGCCCACTTCATAATTGCTTTCCTGTGCGCATCCTGGGTAATCAGCCCGAATTACCATACACCTGTGAGTTCAGGTTAATCACCCTCATGATTGAACACTCGAAAAGGTGCCTGACCTTTTCAAGACCCAGTTCTCATTTAATATCCTTAAGCTATTTAGAAGGTTCACCAGGAGGATGAAAGTCGAGCGTGAGCGTCTGCAGTGGATGGGTGGTTTTTCTTTGTACCGTCTCCCCAGGACGCAAGCTCCGGTTGGATGGAGGATTCTCTCTCTCTGCGTAGTGCAAGCTCTCCTTCCGCTTTTACTTCGGAATCCGAAGCAAGCGGCCGCTTCTCTGCAAACGCAGAGTCTACTGGTCCAAGGTCACGGCAGGTGGCGGCTGGGCCCGTCTTCTGCAGGGCTCCTGACTCCGGAGGGACACCGGGGGTTGGGGAGGGGATCCGGTCCACGGCCGCGGGGCGGTG